TGAAATAAACAGAAGTTAACTAAATTGGGTGCATCTACACTTCAAATTAATAAAGTTTGACACCACATTGGCGGCCATAGCTCAATGTCCTTGGGGTCCTTGGAGTTGTAATTTTATGACCTCTTGAGCCTTCTCTTCCAAAGACTGCTCATGCCTAATCAAACTACACCTCCCATGATTCCATAGCACTGTGCCATGGCAGTTAAATTGGTGTCAAACTGCATTGATTCTACAGTGTAGATAGATCCTTTCTTAAGTTTAAGTATTATTGTTAAACATGACTAAAATAAAGTTCCTAAAAAACACAAAAGTATAGAGTCAACCGACCACTGAAACAGAAAGTGAGAAACAGTGGAAATGACAATACTCTACAGAAGCAAAGCTTCCAAAACAGATGGAACAAATGCATGAACTTATAACAGATAACACTTTAAACAACCAAAATATGGTAAGATATTTCAGCAACTGTAATCAGTTAATAAATAACTTGCAGAAAAATGTGACCCCCTCCCTTAAAAAGGAACTGCAGTAACCTTTCATAATATTTTAATGCCATTATTTCAAAAATACTACTCTGTCCAGAAACCTTAATCATATTATGAAGAAATAAAGTTATAACATACTAGCCTGAACACTACTGTACCAATTGTATCTACCTATTCACCATTGGATAATTGATCCAACCAGTCTTGTTATAATAATAGTAAGTCGTCTGGTGTAGTTCTTTGTTTTTTTTCATCTGCACAAGAACATTGCTAGATGAACCAGTTTTGGAACTACAGCAGAGCCTCGGTTATCCAATTTTTGCTCATCCAGTGTTCTGTATTATATAATGCAGTCTGCCTCCTGCCTGGATCCACAGCTGTTTCAATACATTGCGATGTTTTGGTGCTAAATTAATAAAAACAGTAATTACTACATAATGTTTCCATGCACTGAACTGCTTTTTCTGTCGATTTGTTGTAAAACATGATGTTTTGGTGCTTAATTTGTAAAATCATAACGTAATTTGACATTTAATTGGCTTTTCCTTAATCCCTCCTTATTATCCAACATTTTTGCTTATCCAACGCTCTGCCAGCCCATTTTTGTTGGATAAGCGAGACTCTACTGTAATTACAGATCTTTTCCCAATTACATAACTGTTATCCATGAGCACATTACTGTAGGCCTGTATTTTAAATGTGGGGTCCATTCTAGGACCCTTTGCGTAATAAGATTTCATGTGGTCTTCCCTGAAATGAACAATGATTTGGCTTCTATTTGGCACAGTATCTGAAGGAAATGTCTAGAGAAACATGCTCTCTTGACTTTCAGCATGATCCTATGATCAACCTCCAGTGGAGGTTGGGCTCCAGTGGAGGTTGACCACAGAATCATGTTGGTGGTCTAGATCAACCTATAGAATCATGCTGGAGGCCTACAGAGAATGTCTTTCTAGGTCTTCCAGTATGATTCTAAGGCATTTAAAGAGTAGCATCTTGTTGTGTAGCACTTGTAGATACCTTTGTCAAAACATGCTGGAATGTAGCTTTTGCAATTGCAATTGCTGTCTCTCTTTCACCTTCTCCAAGCCTAACACAAAAGTGTCTTAGTGCTGTGTGGTCTTTGTCTTTGATTGTATATGTTTTATATTGCATTCTTTGGCTGAAACAGCATTGTAAATAAAGGTTATTATGTTTATTTCCATTTAAATTTTACAAAAAAATGGAAAGGGCTTTGTTTCAGGAAAATAGGTCAAGTAAGGAACCTTGAACATGTGCACTTAATAATAAAATGAAAGTGGTGCGAGAAAAATGTAGAGTTCAACATCAGTGAATGTATTAACTCTATTGAAAACTGAATCATAACAGCAGATCCTGTGTGGGATCAATGGAGAATAGCAGATGTGTTGATGATAATAGATATCTCAACAGTATTTGTTTTTATAGCAATTAAAACATGTCATTTACAAAAATATGGTAATAAATGGTAATAAAATATAAAGCAAAGGTGGGATAGATAAACCCCACTTTTTATAGCCTGTTCACATCCATTTTAGTATTTCTGGTTATTGGTCTTCATCGAGCATTGTTTCAATGGAATTTCAATACTGGTGTTTTATTTTCTTATGTTTTATTTAATTCTGTTTATCTGGATTATTATATTTTACTATGTTATTGGGTTTTTATTTTAATGGATTGTTTAGCTTTTATGTCTTGTGGACATTCTGTCCCATATGTAAGCTGCCCCGAGTCCCTTCGGGGAGATGATGGTGGGGTATAAGATTATTATTATTATTATTATTATTATTATTATTATTATTTGTCAACATGCATACAAATTTTCTACCCTTCTTTCCAACTAAAGCTAGCAATTCTCATTCAATATTGTCAAGTATCATAGTGAGATTTCAATACTTAATTCTTTGGGTTACTGTGAGTTTCCTGGGCTGTATGGCCATTTAAGCTGTATTAGAAACTAGGCAAGTGACATTTATATATTGGTGGAATGTCCAGGGTGAGGGAAAGAACTCTTGTCTGTTGGAGGCAAGTGTGAATGTTTCAATTGGCCACCTTGATTAGCATTGATCAGCCAGGCTTTGAAGCTGCAAGGTCAGTGAATGCTAATCAAGGTGGCCAATTGCAACCTTCACACTTGCCTCAAGCAGACAAGAGCTCTTTCTCCCACCCTGGACAGATGTATAAACCTTCACTTGCCTAGTTTCCGACAGACCTCACAACCTCTGAGGATGCCTGCCATATATGTGGGCAAAACATCAGGAGATAATGCTTCTGGAACATGGCCATAAAGCCTGGAAAACTCACAGCAACCCAGGGATTCTGACGATGAAAGCCTTCAACAACACTAAATTCTTTGTTCTGCATTATAGTATATAACTTGTTTTGCTCTCCCTATCCCATAGGAACTTATCCCAGACTAGTGGCTAAAGTATTGCAGCCTAAAACAAGACCTATGGTAGCACAGTGTTCTAATTTTTATTTATCACATTTCTACTGTTTGTAGCCTGTGTTCAGATTAATCAGCAACATATAGCCCACAGTTAAAATATGTGATACTGAGTGTGTTGAACGTAAGAGTTACACATAATCTAACAACATAATAGAAGCAAATTAAATTTTATAACTAATATATCCTTTAATACAGGGCCATACTTATATCTACAGTAAGATATCCATGGGGATGTGTTCAAGAAACTTACCATGGAAACAGAAAACCATGGAAAATAGTGAATCCTATTGGAATGAATAACAGAAGTTACCACAGAATCACCTTGGAGGACCTAGAAAATTCCTAGAGTCATTTTTCTTTTCATAAATGTGCCCGTGACACTCCATGGCAGCTTCTGGTAGAAGTATATCATATAATTACCTGGAGAACCTACACATTCCAAGTGAGGACATATTTTGTTGGTTGTAGGAAGATAACTTCATGGATACCAGCCCTGCAGGCATGTGAGGGTCATACTGTGTGTGCATGTATACACATATAATCCCACCAAATGTGGATCATAGTTCTATTAAATCATTGCCATCACAAAGACAACTTGCTTATTTGGGTAAATAGTCTTTGAAGTCTTACAGACATAAGTAGCACATATATAATATATTCAAATCTTTTCCCCAATTCAGTATTAAGGGCATATTTATCAATTTCTTTGCATAAACTATTCTTGCCTAAATCCATAGTCTATTTTGTTTCAAAGTTTCTATGCTTTTTATCCCCTATAATTACTTCTACATTTTGAATTATATCTCATTTCTCTGATTGTTATTTATAGGGTTGCCAAAGGGTATACTTTTCCTCTCCGAATGAATGTCTGAGATCCTAGCTTGAACAAAACTCCCTAGTTGTAAGCACTGCAGAATACAGACTTTACATCTGAAACTCTCAGTCAATAGGTTATATGAAAAAATGTTTGCTGGCTATACAAAATCAATGAAAATTGACAAAAAAGTGAAACCAAACCTTGCCGCAAGTAGCTATTCATCCAAAAGACCTAATTTGATCCACATGGTGTCTTCACAGTATTAAGATATTTATTTATAACGAGCTGTTTTGCTTGCAAGGATAGAAAAAGAGAGTTAAGCAAACCCGTTTAAGCGATTTTTCAAGTATCCTAGTTAATTCCAAGAGACTGCCTGGGAAAAATGTCTAGTGGGAAAAAGTACAGCCAATTTTTGCTGATCTTTGTAAGTTGATTATTAGTGGTAGAATCACGACGAGATCAACTGATTTGGATAACATATAGCTAAGTTGTATTGAATGGTGAGAATGTCAGATAGGATTTTATATTTGTTCAAGGATTAACACAATTTTGCATAAGCATTATAAATATTGTGCAAGCAGACCAACAACTGAATACAGCCCTAAAAATTACAGCAAGACATAGTTGGTATGTAAGAGAGATGTATTTAAGAGCAATTGGCCACCAAATACAACACTATTGAAAAAGAAGCATCTTATATATCACCTTCTGTTATCAAGCGTTCGTGGAAACAGGTAAAATGTAGCATAATATTAGTAAAACATTGACATCAGTAACCAACATGCTGCCACAACAAACTGCTATGAATTTGCATGGATCTATTAGCCGAACTGTTTGAGTATGACACACAGTTTGAGTTGTCAATTAAGAAATAAATTAGGAATTATCAGTAGTTCTTTACACACATCAACTCCTACAACAAAACTTCTTTTTTTTCCAGCTCTGCAGAAAATCCTTTCTGCAATGAAGAGCAGATAAAAGGAAATGATCTTTTGTAAGACCATCAGACCAGAAAATCACCACACCAATGAAGGATATATCATGAGTGCATCAGGGATCCTCTAAGGGGAAGTTGGTGGGAGATCCATTGTACTGCCCACCTTTCTACAGGTAGACAGATATCATTGAATGTGATATGAATTTACTTTTTTATCCTTTTAATTCTTGTTTTCTCATTAACTTTCATGCCACAATGCAAATAAAGTGCACATAAGGATAGAAATACACTTACCTGGATTTATAGAGTAGTTGACATTAGGAATATTGGAAATAATGCACAATGACTCCGGCTACTGTAATGTGACAGCAGGAACTCAAAACATTGTTCCATGGAGTAATGCTTCTTTCTGCATGTGATAAAACCTGCAGTGACAAAGAAATGCATAAAATTATTTAAAGCATACACAAAAAGCACACACGAGTACCCCTCAAACCCTGGTTCTGGTTCTGTGGACATCAGACTCAAACTAAATCCTATATGAGAGCAAGTGCTAAGCATAAATCAAATTCCCAGTCCCAAATAAAGTACATCTATTTAAAGCAATTGACTTACCATCAAAGAATTAATTCTGTGGGTTTACATTAGTTTGTTTATTTATTTATTTATTTATTTACAGCATTTATATTCCACCCTTCTCACCACGCAGGGGACTCAGGGTGGATTACAATGTACATATGCATGGCAAACATTCAATGCCATAGACACACAACATATTTACATAGACACACAGAGGCTAGTTAACATTCCAGCTTTCATGAGGGTATTCTGGCCACCAGGGGAGCTGTTGCTTCACCGTCCATTTGTGACACTGAGGGAGTACTTCCTCATTCTTTTTCGCTTGCTTACTGGAAATTTTATGTCGTAAATTAGTTAAATTAGCCTCCCCGCATAAGCAGTACCTAAATTTCCTACTTGACAGATGCAACTGTCTTTCAGGCTGCAAAGGTCGTCAGCAAGCTACACAAAGGTCAGAAGCTCACTCCAACCTGGGCTGGCTTCGAACTCATGACCTTTCGGTCAGTAGTGATCTTAATGCAGCTGACTCCCAGCCAGCTGTGCCACAGTCCCGATGTGGCTGTCAAGTGGATAGGCCAAAGAATCATCCAAGGAATGCACTTTGGGACACTTCCGGAATACCTGACTCCATTTTCCCAGCAATACTCAATGGCATAATGCACAAGACCTCCTGACTGAATAATAGCATCCTACATTATGGCTTATGAGGCTAATGCAAAATTAAGAATCAAATGTTAACTCTTTCCCTGTGTAGATGTTGAAAAATAGTATTCCCTGTCATGTGCCAACAACTGTCTCCTACCCTTTCTTAAAAAATGTGTTCCTGAGGTCTATATATAGGTTGCAATACATTTTGGTGGCTAATCAAACTATATCAAAGTGTCTGTGTGTGTTGTGTGTGTGTGTGTGTGTGTGTGTGTATCCATTCTTCCGCTCATAAGAAAGTTTTAGTAGGGCAATTAAAATTTCAACTGAGGTAGGCAAGAAAGAATCTTGCTGTTATAGGAAAATGACAGCTTCAAGGATACAGGCATGATACAAGAAAAAATGTCTGTACAGCAACAAGATTATAAATGCACCTTTTTTCTCAGTTCTTCAATGGACATTTCTCTTTACACATCTATGAGCTCTCTTGAAATTATTGCTTTTTAAATACTAGCCATTCTGAAGTACTGACAACATGTGCCTGATGTGATATTTTTATAAAACAGCTGGAACATTAGTAATAGATTGCTGAAATCTCCTAAATGGCATCTCCCGAAAAAGTTGCAATCTTATATACAAAGCCAAAGAGCCTCCCAACTCTCCCAGGATGCTGGAAAGATCATATTTTTTTCTGCTGCTTTCAGCATGCCGACAGTGATCTATTGAGTTTACGTGGCTTTCTTGTCAATACCAACTGGTCACAGTAGGTGGAAAGCAGGTTCTCTTACTACATACTTGCTAATTAAACATGTCAATAGCCATTCATGGTGAACATTTCAATACCACCTTCCAAACAAAAAGAAGCGTAAACATACATATCAGGAAAAGAATAGATATATCACCAGAAAGGTCTGCTACTTTGAGTGAATGCCTGCTTCCTATCCTTACTGAGACATAAAAGAAAACATTCAGGAACATAACTCACAAATTGCACCGTTTTGTTCCGGAGATGCAACATGGCTGGGCTTTTTTCTAAAAGATCAAAAGATCAGAAGATCATTTCACAGATTTCAGAATTAAAGGACACTTTTTACTTCGTTCTTGGATGTTTGTTGAGTCAGCTCTCCACTGCTACGGGTTTTATCTTTGCAGGTTTCTAAGATTTGCAGTTGAAAATTGCATTGGAGGAAGTAGTGATTGTAAAAAGATGTTTTTTCAGATAAAATTGGGGTCGTTCACTTGCAGTTTTTCCACTTTTTTAGGGGTCCTGTGACCCTACCCCCAGTGAACATGGAAGGCCTACTGTATGAAAACATTTGCAGAATTATTTTGTGATTTCCCCATGAAATGTTACTTTCCAGATTTTATAACTTGGCATATTTGGTAGGTGAACCTATATGATCTGGTTCATTTGTGAATACAAATAAACAATTTGAGAGTGCTAAATGAACCAGTTACCATATACAGTGTTCCCTCACTTATCGCGGGTGTTCCGTTCGAGGACCACCCGTGATTGTGTGGACACGACAGTATATTTATTTTAATATTTATACATATTCCTTACTTACTGCAGAATGTCTCTCCTTAATGTTACTTTCCTTTTACGCCGTTTTGTCTATAACATCTCCTTACTTTCAGCTTCATATTACCTCCTCTTTCTCTCCCCTTCCTGCCTTTCTATGGTGTTCCCGACCACTTCTGGCCTTCTGTCTCTCCCTCAAGTTCCGGCCTTCTACATCCCACCACTTCCTATCTCCCAGTCAACTTGTTGGCTTCCACTTCTGTAGTCTTCTCTCTTATTTCCCTCTCTTTGTTTTTTGTTTTTTGTCTCCTAAATCATCAGTTCCTGTATCCCGCTCCTCCTCCTCTAGAATTGCAGAAGGACTCTGCGTAGATAAAACAATCTTGCCTCAAGGTCAGCCCTTCCTTCTTTTCCTCAGTTTGCCATATTGAGTTTAATGTAATATAAATCCATCAGCTGATCACCCTACGGGCTTTGCTGCTCTTGATCCAGCAGGAGAAAGGAGCCAAAGATCTACCCGATCGTTTCATGGGGCTGGCTTAATTAATATTTATTAATTTTTATTAAAAACCCGCAAAACAGCAAGTCTGCAAAAAGCAAACTGTGAAATAGCGAGACAACATTGTATACTCGAAGATAAGCTAAGTTTTTCAGCCCTTTTTTGGGCTGAAAAAGCCTCCCTTGGCTTGTAATGAAGTCAAGTCGGGCAGCAAAGCTTGGAGGCCATTGCTTGCAATATATGATTAATTTCTCTCTCTTCTTCCCCTCCCTTAACAGTGTGTTTTCTTTTCCAAAGACTCCCTTGCTCACTGGAGAGTCTGAGAAGCACTTGCAAGTCAGGAATACCCATTAATCTTATAAAAGCATTTCCCCCTGAAATATCTGTTAATCTCTCCTAGTCACAAGTCTTTGCAATCCCTATGTACCTACATATCTCCATCAATCTATATACATTAATTTTATATATGAATTTTCCACTAATATGTTTGCAGGTCTTTGCAAATCCTATATACATATAGATATCTAGACATTTCCACACACCTATATGTCTGTATCTATATGTATACATTATTTTATATGAATTTTCCCCTCACATGGTTGCAAGTCTCTGCAAATCCTATATAGATATAAATAAATATATAGAGCTATCTATATATCTGTATATCTCTGTATGTGTATGTATATGTGTATATATATATAAATAATTTTATATATGAATTTTCACCTCACATGTTTGGAAGTCTTTGCAAATCCTATATATATATTTTAAATTTATTTATTTAAAATTTTAATTATTACATTTGGCCCTGCGTCGTGGCATTACTGTTATTGTTTATTGCTTTGTTTATGAGTTATTTATTGTCTGTATTCCTGTGTTGTTTTTATTGATGTATTTGGGCTCGGCCTCTTGTAAGCCGCACCGAGTCCCCCGGGAGATAGTAGCGGGATATAAATAAAGGTTTATTATTATTATTATATATATATATAGAAAGAGAGAGAGGGAGGGAGAGGGAGAAGGAGCGACAGCGAGCAATGAATACAGATATATAGGGCTTGCAGATATTACAGGGAAATACACATAAAGAAAGAGAGGATTTGCAAACATATCAGGGGGAAATGCATATGTGAAATTAGTATATATAATTATAGATCTATATCTATCTCTGAATTGTTTAATGTTTATATAGGCACTGAATGTTTGCCTGTTACTATGTTGGAAGCTGACCTGAGTCCCCATCAGGAGATAGGGCAGGATACAAATGAAGTATTATTGTTGTTGTTGTTGTTATTATTATTATTATTATTATTATTATTATTATTATTATTATTATGTTATTGTTAATACCATATTGTTTTTGTTGATCCTACTTTTCCATTTACAGTGCTAGTTTACTGTTTTTCTTTGAAATATGGTAAATATTCAAAAACATTTAACCTACTGATATTTCAATTAATGTAATTTTATTGGTATCTATTTTTATTTTGAAATTTACCAGTACCTGCTGCATTTCCCACCCTAGGCTTCTAAGTTTTCCTATTTTTTTGTGGTAAAATTAGGTGCCACGGCTTATATTAGGGTCAGCTTATATTCAAGTATATACGGTAGATCATAACACTAGACCTGAACATAAAGCAACTCTGTGTCTCACAGAAGTATATTTACTTCATATTTGACATCATACTGAGGTTTTCAGTGCAGAATTGGCAGTGCCTTATCCAGCAATCTGTACTGAGGTATGTTTTTCATGGCAACCGATCCCATTTAAATGCCAGAAAATAAATGATGGACACAACTACTTTCCAGATAACTAGGGGATTAATTAAGTAAGCCAATTGGGGCTTTTCGCTTATTTACTCTGAATACCTCTTTCCCCTCTTCTATTCACACCATGTGGTGAATTTTCTATAATTTCCCAGAACTGCACGAGTGAGGTTTGTAATGTAGTGTTTTAGGCTGCTGTTCAATGACAAAAGGCGAAAAGTCCTACAGAATATGTGTAAACTCTTTTGGAGTATATCCAGAAGTGTTTCCTGGGTCTTTTAAAATGAACTTTGTGAGAGTTGGGATGTTATTTTTAAAATGTGCTTTCCTTCTATCATCCTGGAGATGCTGGTCTTACCTAACCCATCCTAACTGTAAATTGACTGCAGTGGCAGGTCAGTTTCCCCATGGTTTCC